AGGACCTGCATCTGGTCGGCAGCCCTGTCTATGGGCGGACTCCCGACTCATGTATAGAATTCCGACAAGACACTCCAAGTTCCTGCGTCAGCGGACACTTGCGACGACAGAGACACTAGCCATATGGCTAACCAACCCAACATTGTGCGTTTGTACAGGCGCCAAGGCTTCCTGCGCAAAGCCAAACCCAGTGTAGAATTCTTTGTAAATTGAGTTACGCGTATAGGCCAAAACAAATTTCGGTGTATATACGGTACTATTGATAGAATAAGGTAATACTAAAAAAACGTACAACCCTCAACATTGGAAACCCTAGACAAAGCGTTCCTTTGTTATTGTTCGAGCAAATCGAATTTCCCGCTCAAGGTCAAAATAGAAAAACTAGTTAAGTAAAAGAACGCCGATCACGTTTGGAAGAGGGCTACAAAAAGGGGGAAGGGGAATGCCAACGGGGGCCAAACGTGGAAATAGTTGCGAGGAGGGCGTGGAGAACTCCAAGAGTTAACCAGCTGAATACAACACCCAGCATGTGTGTTCACACCAGCCACGTCGCCTTACAACGATAAAAGAGGGACAGCTAATGACCAGATACCTCTCCCCTTCCCCTACCTCCTGACAGAATTAGACTCTCACCCATGACCCCTAAACGCCCCACAACCCTCTTCCCCATACTGACTTTTATTGACTGTTTAACTCCTGCTACTCCACCCTCACCCTTGAATTACTGTACAGGTCCGATGACGAATAAACGACTTTAAAAAAAACATGCAAATATAAAATTCATCGCAAGTGCTGCAGGAGGTCTGTCCCAACCCAGTAACCAACGTGGTCTTTCCGCATGAACACTGCTGAGATTGCTGCATACAGTGGATGGTCGAATAACTGAGCTTGTCCATGATCCGCCAGTCCCCTCTCTTGTCTCCGTTGAAGTCAAATAACTTTTCCAGTATTAAAGATTTTAGTGCGCACCTATTCCCGAACTGCGTCACCTAGGATGCCGAGGTCAGTCGTCCAAACGTGGCAACCAGTAATAACGGGGAATTTGACCTATATGCTGTCCAACCCCTTCCCCTATTACGAACACCGCCTTTTGCCTTCGTCAATTCGATCGTCGTTGGCGACGATGTCCACCGCGTGCTCCACAGCAAGGTGAGGGTAGGCCTGGTGACTTGCGTGTGATTCAGTTTGTCGTGAATGTAGACTTGCAAAGCATCTGCAGCACCCTCTCCTCCCCGGCCTGGACCCGGTGTCAAGACAAAGCCAGGAAGACCGGAGACGCGGAGGACGCAGGTGGATGGCACGGTCGAGGCTGCACCTAGGCGCTCCACTCCACACCCCCCTCTTCTACAGTGCGTGACCGATCTCATGAAATGTTGGCCGAAATTCTGAAATTTGTTTTCGATTAGGAAGGATTACTTAGGTGGGAGTGCAAAATTGATTAGCTAGCGGCGGCATAATCCTATAGCATTTCCTCATGCGGAAAGCATGCACCTTGCAGACTGAAATCGCTAAAAGCTGATGCAATGGTAGATCAGGCTTAAAATTATCCGGGAACTGCAAAACTTTTTAAAAACTTGAATATACACTTTCATCGGGTATAAAAAATGAAGACAGGTTGATTTTCTACCGAACGAGTGTAAGAAGACATATTTTTGTGTACGTTTTCTATAAAATATTCTTGAATTTGTAAAACAATCTGAAATAAATACGAAACATGTATGCTACTTAAGAAGTCACTTTTTGCAGATTGCAATTTCTGCAGAAGGTCAAATCGGAGTGCATCCAAATGCCGACATTCTGCTGAGTCCGAAATGCTATAGGAATATGCTGCACGCTAATCAGTATTAAAACCCCACCTAAGTAATCCTTCCTAATCGAAAACACATTTCAGAATTTCGGCCAACATTTCATGAGATCGGTCACGCACTGTACAACATACCTTGGACCAGAATTTTGACCAACAACAAAAAGAGCTGGCGCGGCAAAAGTCGCACCTTGGATCGGGTCTCTCGGAGTGGTAGTTTCATAAAGGACACATCAGGAAGAAGCCATTGCAGCCTGACACTCAGACCACCAGCCGATCACGCCACGTAAACACGCATTACTGGGCCGCCTGCAAGCTCCATGCTACACCTCCAAGCCAAGGCTTTCGGCTCACCCGCATAGTTTCAGATGCGTTAGGTTATTTATAGTGAGGAAAATGCGCTGAGTCGTCGACCCCACTCTTCCTTCCCATTCCAATGCCCCAGCCACTGTCCGAGTCGGTCAGTATACTGGGGCAGGGAATGGGTGCGGTGGCTGACGTTGTCTAATGACCATATCTGCGCGCGCAACATACACGGCCTGCTCAACGCCCCCCCCCCCCCAAATAAAAGCACCAGGATTTGGCACAACAGGGGTTGAGTGGCGTACATCACACATGCGTGAGAGTATCGTAGGTCACGCTAGGAAGGATCCGCTTTAGCCTGGTTCTCAGTCCACCCGTCTGCCACAAACGCGCACTCAACTAGACTGACTGCATGGACTGAGTTGGGACGTCAGTCGGTAGCCTTTCAATCCACAGTGCTAAACGCGCCCTGATAGCCTCTGACTTGAATCACACATGTAGCAAAAAGGCCGCATGGAAAGGTAGCCGAGAAGTACACTTTCAACTTGCGTGGGAAGTCGCAACTGGATGCTTGTGGTAGGTGATTATGTTGTGTGGTGCAGGTGTGGGAAGATGTGATGGTATGGTTTAGCGGCCGTTGAATGCGCGTGTGGCCTAATAGGCCCACGCGGTGTGTGAATGTGCGGGTGCAGTGAGGGTAACTGAGGCGGATGCGGTGAGTGTACATGGGTGCTTCAGGCACTCGTTCGCCAGTCTCTGTGCGATAAATTCGCAAGTGACCGACCAGGTCGACGTGTGAGGTGATTGTATGGGGACAGAGAGGGCGGTAAAAGCCGATTGTAGAACGGCATTACCCACAAAGACAGGGGAGGCGGAAATGGCCATTTCAGGTTTATTAGCCGTCTCCAGCCAGTCATACCCAACCCAGTCATACCCAACACCCGAGGGTGCTAGTTGGTCTCGAGAGAGAGCCCATAAGGCACAACAGAACGAGTGAGTTCAGTAAGAACGATCGGTGAGCGCCTCCCCCATCATTGTATATTCCTGATCGAAAACGACAGGGCAAATGCTCGTGGCCCAGTGGTTAGAGGCGTGGACTTCTAACTAACAGATCGCGAGTTCGAGGCTCATGTGTTCCACTTTTCAGGAGAACGCATTCTATTTTTAAATTATATCCACTTGGAGTGCCTACCAACTCAGATCTACATATATATATATATATATATATATATATATGTCATGCGCCTCTGTGCGGCTGCTGGTTGGGCTCGAGAGAGAGCCCTTAAGGCACAACGGAACGAGTGAGTTCCGTATTAACGATCGGTGAGCGCCCCTTAACATTATATATATATATATTGTGTTCCACACTTCGGGCTTGCGTATGGCTGGCTGACGACGGCTAATAAGCCAGAAATGGCCATTCAAGTCTACCTTGTCTTTGTCGGTAATCTCATTCTGCATATATATAGATCGATATGCGTAAAGATTCCAGGTCCAGACATTGTATCACGTTCATCATCTCCCGAAGAAGACGAAGATGAAGAGAGGGCGAATTCATGGAGCATATTGTATTCGAACTGACGTTTCGGAAACTTCCTCGTTTCCATTATCAGAGTAGCGTAGTTTTTGCACTTGCCGATCTTGAGTTGTTCAGTCTTGCCGCTTGCCTCGTATGATAGCCGTGCTGAACGCACGAACTTTGACCTGCCTGTTTGCCGCTGACTGCCTTAGCTCTCCGCGCGGCTGACCGCTGACAGGCCTGCGTGGCCTTTGTTCCCTTTGGGGTCGGCGTAATTGTGGTCAAATCAACGTGCCGCTTGGCCTCTCCCACGTCAGCCGGTGGACTGATCGGTCGTTGCTGTTCAGTTGAGCAGCATTCAGCATCGCGTGCTCGTCTGTGATGCAGTGTTCGGCTTTGGTCACATGACCTCTAGCCCCCAATTCCGCTCTTTTCCGTGAGCGTTGAATCTCGGTCCCGCGTGCTCGCCTGCCTTACTGGTCCTGTCCGGACTGATCCGAGCCTTGTACGCAGCGTCTGGTAGGCGGGTTGTAGATCTATAGCTCGGTTGAGTGTACCAGCCGAGGACCAAATTACGAGCACCATTCTGGCCATCCTCTCATTTGCTCGAAAAATTGGCCTCGCTTTCTCAAAGGCAAAACCGTGGTTCTCTTATTTGACCATAGACCAAAGACAGCTTGTCCTTGCGGTTGATTGCAAGTTGATGTTCGTGCAATCGTGTACCGAGGCGTTTGCCCGTTTCACCAAAATACCTCGCACTGCAATTCAGGCATGGTATGCTGTAGACCACATCTGACCGTTCTGTTGTTGGTAGCAGGTCTTTGGGCTTCATGATTTGCTGTCTGATGGTGCATTCTGGTTTATGAGCCACGCCAATCCTAAAAGGTTTCAGGATTCTCGCCGTCGTCCCTGATACGTTCTTCACATATATTATTGAGAGCCAGAACTTGGTCTTATCTAATCTCGACCGTTCAAAATGAGGCTTTTTGATGCAATTGCGTATAATGGACTTTGGGTGGCCGCTGGCTTTAAAAAGGGCCTGCAAGTTATTCCCCTCCCCCTTCTTTCCACTGTCGTTGGTACAGTGTGCTCGAACGCGTTGAAAGAGAGCTCTGACACAACTGCGTATATCACTAACAGGAACTTTGCTTCAGAAGTATGGGATACGCCTAGTATTTGTTTCCTTAAGGTAAACCGTTGTTCTTATCGTCCCGTCTGTCGATTTCTTAACTTATACGTCCTGGAAGGACAATTGATTGTTGACTTCCTCTTCCACAGTAAACTTAATGTCGGGAAAGATTGCATTTTACAATGCCTTGAAGGCCTTTACCTCGCAACTCTTGAGTACAAGGACGTTTCTTCGACATATCTGGCCTAGAACTTTGGGATGTTCGAGCTGAGGACCAGCTGCTCGAGCCTTGGCAAAGCAGCTTCGGCAATTCGTCTAGACGAAGGCGAGCCCATCGGTGTCCGCAACTTTTGCTCATAGACGTGGCCGTTGAATGTGAAGAAGGTCTTTAGACGCAGTTTTAGGAGTTCGAGGGTGTGTGCTCGTTTGAGCTGTTGGTCGGTCTCATCATACTTTTCCCGGGGAAAACCGTCAATTTTGTCGATAGCCAGCGCGGGTGAGATGGAGATGAACAAAGAGATCACGTCAAAAGACGCCATCACCTCATCTGCCTCCACTTCGAGATGTTTGATGCGCGTCAAGAACTTTTCAGCCTTTTCAGTCTTTTAGTAAATTTGTAAGCTCTCAGCATCCGGCCATCTCCAATCTACACACTAAGCTCCTATCTGTCCCGCCGATACCAGATAGTTATGCTCGGTAATAGCTACTCGACACCTCACTGGATCATGAGTGACGTATTTCAAGGTACGTTTCTGGGTCCGATACTCTTCCTTATGTACATCAATGATATTTAGGCTGAACTCGGAAATTCGCAAACTACTATTTATGCCGATGACCTCAAGTGTGTTTATTCATATTCTAAGGACATTGCAAACGATTTTGTTGAATAATTAATGCCGATTTATTACGCTTAAGCAGATGGGGATCAACATGACAGATGAAATTTTCATCATCAAAGTGTAGTTTCGTGTCTTTTCGTCCTACAAAACTTCCTAATGCCATAATTTGTCAGAATAACCGCCTCTTAGAGTGCCTCACCATAAAGGACCTAGGTTTAAGTTATACGAATAATCTTGCTTTATCACTTCATGCAGATAGGATCTCTGCCAAAGCCGCGCATATATGTGAATTTATATCGCATAATTTATTCCTTCCGGAAATGAAGCTAGGAATGTATAGAATGTTTGTTCTTCCAGTCCTCGAATACTGCTCTCCTTTCTTTGGTTTAATGAATGTCTGCGAGCGCTATAAGTTCGAAAATGTTCAGAGGGTTTTCACTCGGAAACTATTATCTCAAGGTTCATCCGGTATTTCTTATACTCGAAGATGCCAGCTGACGAACAATAAGTTTTTGTGGGTTAGAAGACTAGAAGCTGGCCTTCGCTTCCTTTTTCGCATCAACTCTAGCTCCAATCTTCCAATCATGGACACACACTCCAAGAGATCTGTCTTATGCCACGCGCAAGTCTTCCATGGTGATTCCGCCGCCTCTTTGCACTACATTTAAGCACTCCCTATTCTTTGCTTCCAAATATGCTTTCCTTTGGAATAGTCTTCAGCCAGAAAAAAGGTCATTGACTAAGTTACTTGTATTCAAGTCGAAATTACGCAAACATCATCCACCCGTAAGCATAAAGGCACTGTTAGCGGTCTCATTCCATAACACTCATGTCCTTTACTTTGAGAAGGGTCCTACTGGGATTTATTGGCAGATCAAATGGTAACCCTCAATTATATCATTACGCACCCTTGTTTTAAATTGGTTTCTAAATCCACTGTTATCGCTCCTCCGCCATAGCGACGGTTTTCGCGGTTCTCGATGTCATCTCCCGCATTTTGACCTCATGCGGTCTGTCGACGTTCACGGTGGAACCCTCAGTAGTCGCCGTCTACTAGTAGTTTGGTCGTACCTCCCTTCCCCGCTCCTCGGTTGGGCTGGATGCATACTGTGGCCGATCGTGTCTGGGTTCCCCTCGACTGGCCTCTTTGACGCGAATAGTCTCATCCGGCGTATTAATCCGGCCGTGACGATGTCAGCTCTGAATCCCGTATACAATACCGCGTGCAGGCTAGTCCTGTCCAACCCGCATACGTACCCCTCAAGGCTGACCTTTATTTCTGCCCTGACGATGTTCGATTATAATCCGCTATATACCGCCACATACAGGCCAGTCTTGCCCGCATTTTCTGTTATTTTTTATCGAGGGTTTTTTTTCTGCTGTAAAATTAATCTAATCATTTTTAAATTTTTCAGTGGAGTTTTTTCACACCTCGCTAGTAGTTTTTCTCAACGGACTACTAATTCAAAAACTATGAATTGCATTTTTTACAGATCCTACCTACCTCGTCTACAATTCGCATGCCATTTTTTACTTGCTTTGATGGACCCCAACGGGTCTTTAATAAAAAAAAATCATTATTATCGCGTCATTACCATCAAGAGTTTAATTTGGTAGACTGTTACGGTGAGGAAATTCAAATTAGTTGCGCCACTCATCCTTAGTTTAGGCCACATTGCCTCACAGTCACGGGTCAAATTTGCTAGATATTTCGTGTGAGTTTTCCGGTCCTTTGTCCGCTTTCGAGTCTGCTGCTGATTGATCAAACCGGACGTTAATGTGTTGGCAGTTATTTTCCCTGTTCGGTGTGGCAGATAGGAACGTTCTTTTCCTAAAACCTGAATTTTCATTTAGATCAATGTTAGTGGTTGTGTCTATAGGAATGAGCTCCGAACATTTACGATTTTTACATTCAATAATGTATTGTATCTTTATAGGAGTTTGGCCTTGAGTTCCCTTCATCTCTTCCGCTCGGGGTGTGAGAAGTTCCACAGAAAAAATCGTCGGGTGGGCATCTCGGAGTGCTTATCTCCTGTTCAGCAGCAGTGGAGCTTGCTCCTCATTTCCGTAAATAATTTTAAATTGTTTGTAATGGCTCGACTCGCCCTTCAAATCCTTAATTTTTCCTATTCCCCTGTCATTTACATTAACAAGGTCATAAGAAGTAGATTCTGCGGCGCTATTAAAATTATTGAATAGTGCCTGTGATAGCATTCCATAAGATCACATATATTATGGGACAGATGTTCGATCGTTTTGACTATTTATTCAGGGAAGTCTAGTAGTATATTTGCTTATAAATCTATTGTTTGGTCTGTTATGGTCTGCGAACATATTCATCTTCAGCATATTCTGGTCATATGAGAACCTAAATAAGAAATCAAGACTAATATGGGGTCTGATTATTCAAAAGACTAAAATAGCTGAAAAGTTCTTGACGCGCATCAAACATCTCGAAGTGGAGGCAGATGCGGTAATGGCGTCTTTTGACGTGATCTCATTGTTCATCGCCATCCCACCCGCGCTGGCTATCGACGAAATTGACCGTTTTCCCCAGAAAAAGTATGATGAGACCGACCAACTGCTAAAACGAGCACACACCATCGAGCTCCTAAAACTGCGTCTTAAGACCTTCTTCACATTCAACGGCCACGTCTATGAGCAAAAGTTGCGGACACCGATGGGCTCGCCTCCGTCTAGACTAATTGCCGAAGCTGTTTTGCCAAGGCTCGAGCAGCTGGTCCCCAGTTCGTACCCCCCAAAGTTCTAGGCCAGATACGTCGACGAAACGTCCTTGTACTGAAGAGTTGCGAGGTAAAGGCTTTCAAGGCATTGTAAAATGCAATCTTTCCCCGACATTCAGTTTACTGTGGAGGGGGAAGTCAACAAGCAGTTGTCCTTCCAGGACGTACAAGTTACGAAATCGCAGACGGGACGATGAGAACAACGGTTTACCGTAAGGAAACAAGTACTAGGCGCAATCTTCCACTTCTGAAGCGACCGTCTTGTTGGTCATAAAGGCAGTTGTGTCAGAACGCTCTTTCAACCTGTTCAAACACACTGTACCGACGACAGTGGGAAGAAGGGGGAGGCGAATTACTTGCAGGCCATTTTTAAAGCCAGCGGCCAACCACAGTCTATTATACGCAATTGCTTCAAAAAGCCTCATTTTGAACGGTCGAGAGGAGAAAAGCCCAAGTTCTGGCTCTCAATAATATATGTGAAGAGATTATCAGAGACGACGGCGAGAGTCCTGAAACCTTTTGGCATTGGCGTGGCTCATAAACCAGAATGTACCATCAGACAGCAAATAATGAAGCCCAAAGACATGCTAAAAACAACAGAACTGTCAGATGTGGTCTACAGCATACCATGCTTGAATTGCAGTGCGAGGTATTTTGGTGAAACGGGCAAATGCCTCGATACAAGACTGCACGAACACCAACTTGCAACAAACCGCAAGGACAAGCTGTCTTTGGTCTATGGTCACATACGAGAGCTGAACCACGGTTTTGCCTTTGAGAAAGCGAGGCTAATTTTTCGAGCCAATGAGAATATGTGCGGATCGTATCCCAAAAGCTAATCTTCGGCTGGTACACTCAACCGAGCTATAGATCTACACCCCGCCTAACAGGCGCTGCGTACAAGGCAGTCCTGAAAGGATCAGTAAGGCGGGCGACACTTCCAGGAATCTGTTCCACACCCGAGAATGAGGCTGACAACAAACTCCCGTTTCTTGATATCCTCGAATCGAGAAAGGTCGTCGGGACATTCCACACTTTGGTTTACCGCAAGGTAACCTAGGCGGAAATCCTTTTACATTACGATAGCAATAACCCAATCTCTCACAAAAGAAGCGCCGGGAACAGAATCATTAACCGAACAAGAATTTACTGTTCTGACAACGAAACCTATCAAACAGAACTAAATAATTTTTTGAATCTGTTTTGCCGGAATGGACATCCTAGATATTTTTTGCACCGATGCATGAAATGACAGGAGTTAAAAGAAAAGGACAAGGAAGTAGATTGTTTCGATCAGCCGCCCAAACTGAAAAAACTGGCGAACACTTCCGCACATTAAGAATGTGTCCGAACTAGTTGAAAGACACCTGAAGGAGCACCAACTACGTGAGGCGCATAAGCCGACAACTACAATTCGAAACCAGCTTATGCACCCTAAGGATAGGGGTGGCTATTTATACAAGAAGTAAGTAGTCTTTATGATACCATGCAACACCTGTAATGCGGTTCACTGCGGTCAACCTGCAAAATCGGCCTCTGCACGAGTACACGAAAATCAGGTGGTCGTAAATAGGCGAGACCGCTAGTCCCAAGCTGCCATGCATACGCTGGAAACTGGACACAAATTCGACTGGGACAGGACTCGCATCGGAGGTGTCTACTCCTCTAGGAAGGGCCGTGAACGTTTAGAGGCCATCCATTCTGATAACTCATGCATCAACCGACACGTAGAATTGGATGCGGTGTACAGCAGCCTCAAAAAGAAGTGGAAAAGGCATTGGCCAATCAGGACATTATGCCAGCAGAAGTGACAGGGCAAAATCGATTTTAGGCACGTTCAAATGTTAACTATTTTGCACACCTACTTCACGGTTGAAGGTGACTTGGGTAAGCAAGGTCAATAATTTGCAATTGGACTAGTTTGTCTTTCCCGAAGAACTTATTTCTTTCGAAATATGCATATATATGCAGATATATAACTTGTGTTTGTCGTTATCTGGACCACCGAATTGGACTTAGCTCGAAAATATGTATTGTCATTCTTATTTTAAATGCCCTTATATGAACGAACCCGACACGCATGACTGCGAGATCGCAGAAATGTCGTTGTAGAGGAGGTGCAGTTGTGGGCTGTAGAATGTCGGAATTTTAGTTAACTAGAATGTCTCTGTCGTCGCAATTTAGGAATATTGTGGAGAATGTGCCACTGGTACCTGGGACAGTGTTGAGGACGCGGACACAAATCGTTAGGTTACGAAGTCGCTGGGTAACCAGGGCTTCGTGGTAGTTCATGCAAGCAGAGACGACTTGTTCAAAGTGCGAAATACTGAAGCATTCACTAGACAGAACGACGCATTCCCTTAAATGCGACATGTTATGTATGACCGAGGATCACCGATGTGTAGTCTTTCCGTGGGAATTACAGAGAGAGCTGAACCAGCATAATTAGAACTAATCATAAAGACAGAAGTCCAGGACGCTATCGTCCGGCTATCTTTCAGGTTAAACCTGACTTTCTCCTGATTGTATTGTTGCAACAGTTATTTTCCCTGTTTATCGACGGGAAGTGTAGGTAAGCCGTAAGGAACAAAAGTCTCAGACATTCACGAAAGAAAATAAATTTTGCGAAAGTCATGTTGGAAATCAGGAATTTATTTGAACTAGCTTAATGGTGGATTTTTATATAAGAAATAAAACTACGAGCAAATTACACGCAAATAGATTCGAGAAGCAGACGAATGAGGTTGTGTGCGCGCCAGAATTCCAAGTCACTGAAATGAGAAGAATTCGGATGCGTAGCATTAGGAATGCTGTAGAAGACGAGGTATCAAAAGCGCAAATTAAAGGAAAAATATGAAACGATGTAGATTACCACTCTTTTAAGGAGAAAATCCTTGCGCCTCCAAGCGTTCAATTATCTAAAAGTTGACAGGAAGAAAATCAGGATATTTGACTCTGCGTGTAAATAGCCCTTTCAGAAAAATTGTCATAGGTCTGTGTGTGATTTACTGGACAGTCCAATTGCATCTAACTGTGGACTTTGCGAAGTAGGAAAATGAAATCTATGGCAATACATCATAAGAAGAAGAATTAGTGCTACGGATCAAACTTCCCCCCCCTATATACTTTCGTCCTAGGTTACGCAGACTGCCCCGTCGGTTTCATCTGAAACACGAAGTTCAGTTCTGCCTTTGATACGTTGCATTTACGAGAGGGCTAGGAGGCTGTCAGAAGCAAATAACTAGCCAGAATGATAACCTTCGCCGAAAAATGCTCGTCAAACGTCGTAAATTTTTTTCTCACAAATGAGTAGTTGTATGGAACCACAACATCCCATCCTTTGAGAAGCACTCTAAAAGCCTATCGCATACGCCAAACTGATCGCTGGCAGTTCCAATGCCTTCTTGTCCAAAACGTTTAATGAATATTCGACCGCTTCACTTCCTAACCTACAAATATAGACCGGCGCCGGTATGAGACGCCGCCACAGTCACCGGATGATTTCTTTAAGCTCATAGTACTGGACCAAATAGTGTTGCAAACAGTAATTTAAATGCGGACGCAGGTGAGGTGTTTTCGTCCCACATGTGCGAGATATCTAATCTCGCTCTCGAAAGTGAGACCTATTCCAGTTTGTACAAGGACTCATGCCTTGTACATATTCCCAAGCACGGCCTGTCTACGTCAGCTGACGTCTTTCGGCCAGTAAACATCCCCCCCAGCAATTTCGAACATCTTAGAGACCTAAATCTAAGATGAGGTAACTTCTCTCTCAACATGTGATCCGCAAAGCTCGGTCTTGTGACGCCTGCCAGCCTCCCTTTTAGTAGTCATGTTGCACAATCTGAAAACAATGGTTTCGCCGCCTGAACAGTCATCATCAGCCCCAAGTGTGCACTGATGGAGACGACATTAATGTGAACGGAACTGTTGAGGATCTACGTATGCCACACCCCAGGAGCCCCAGTCTTTCAGTTTTCCTGCCTGACTGGCCTCAAGGCAGACAAAACGACTGGATGTCCCCCATGGAAATTTGAAACTAGCTCTCTTGGCACCCGCCTGATCTAGAATGCTATACGTTTTTATTTAGCTTTCTGCGCACTGGTGAGCGAAAGAAAGTGGAACTTGTCCAGCCTTTTGTTACCAGAAGTACTTTGATCGCGGAACGCCCAATTGCGACACATCGAGAACGTTGTGAACTCCCAGATCTAGGTGCTTTGTGGCTTCGCCTATTATAAAAGGAACACCAGATTGTCATTCGAGTTTCTAAACTGTCACACGTTCAATGTCCCCACTACTTTGCAACATTTTGACCGCTGTGGGCACAACAGTTCACTTGGGGTCATTTTATCTCTTCCTGAAGTACTTACAGTTAAATATAGTAATTTCATTTTCTGCCAACCGAAATGCAATCTAGAGTAAGCTCCGCAGGCCCATGACCATTTCGCAAAATAGCCCATAGTAACATGAACGTTTACTCGCTTTCATCGGTCAGAACAACCTCCACAATTTCTGCGTACAGTATTCACCGAAATCATTTCCCGTAGTGATGGCATTCCCTGTCTGGTGTCATTTCGAGTTGCTGACTCTGCAATCCGCCGTGTAGCGAGTAAATTCTTCATCTGGCGGTGAGCATCTGTTTATCTATGCGGCCTTGCATGATACTGTGTCCAGATTCCAAGAAACGAAGTCAAGACTAGAAACACCCGTCGCACAAATGCCTCCAAGCCAAAAAACTTCTTTGATCTGGACCGCCGTAATTTCTGGGACCGTAGATTATTCTCCCATTACCCAATAAACCTGTTTGCAATACAGTAGATGGACTTAATCCTGAAATATCAACCAAAATTCCTAAATGCGTTTTCGTTGTTAAACCGATCATTGTGCAGCATAATTCTATAGAACTTTAGTTAACTCAGGACGTTGGCTTTCGAAGTCGGCTACCAGGATGGTCGCTGAAGTAAGCGGTGATGAGGAAAAGAATATCGTTAAGGAAGCGCAGTAACATACCGAGGAGATCCTCTTGAGATCATACCACACTTCCTCCAACTAAAACATGATATTCAGAATAAAATTCGGGGAAAAACAACAAAAGGCAAGAATTAAGTAACGTCAACAAGGATACATACCCAATAAGCACGCTCGTCTGAAAAATAGGAAAGGAGGAGAAAAGGCATGAAAAACACGACAAAAAATCCGAAAAAGTACAAAGGAAAAAGCTAACGCGGGGAAGGTAAAAAGCAACAGGGCCGCAAAGAACCGCAAATGAAGGCAGACTGACAGGGCAAATGCTGTCCTCTTCGCTATTAACATGACTTTAATGCTCAAAGAGTTATTTGGAAAAGTGTATGGAGCATTTGTTTATTCAAGGAATGGAAAATGGAATCCACGCATGGCGACTCTGACTGAAAAAGACTATTAGTTGCCGGAACGAGTTCATAGGAGGGCGACCAAAATTGTGAAAGGCCTCTGGACTTTATCTTCCTGCTGTAGACTTGATGAGCATAAGCTATTTCCTCTTGAGTACAGGCAGATCCAAAGAGATCTCAAGCAGACCTAACGGATCGTAAGGAATCGAGACTGTGCCATTCGCTACCTTGATTTCTCCACCTTGACTACAAGAGCAAACCTGAGATGAACTTTCTAAAACATCAGGAAACCAGATCCCACACGGATGATCGCGTTTTCACAGCGTGTCGCCAGTGCCCGAAACGCGTTTCCAGAGGAGGTGATAATGGCGGACATCGTAGGGCTATTAAGACAAAGACTTCGTGTATATTTGCTTGAAGAATACCGCTTAAATCGACAGAAAAGTACTGTTATACCAAACCAAATATTTGTACATCCCACCCGCTAATGAGATGATCGATGATTCTTTGTATCGTTGTCCTCTAAGACTGGGCGTTATCGGGCTACAGCTACAAAATTCCAAGACGCATATTCGCCGTATTCAGCAGCAGGTTTAAATGACGGGTAAATTTGAATGTAGAGGGTTAAAGAGGATAATAAAGGACTGAAATAGCGAGAATATAGAATCGAATACATAGCGAAATACACCACAAAGTAGTAAAGATAAAGAAAAAAGGAAAGGGTACTGCTAAAAGAAGTAACTGAAAAAATAGACTGAAGGAAATAATGAATTGCACACGAAAACTGCAATCACAGGACACAAACTGATTGACAGAAAAGTTCACATATAGAGCAAGAAATAAATATATCCACACGCGTGCGTGTCACTCTATAGAAAAACGACGCCTAAGGAAAGGCAAAATACCCGGGGCATTTTTCCAGCTGAAAAAGTAGAAAGCTAACATTCCGTACTCCGGCAAGTATATTAACTGTCTACGTCATGTTCTCTGTGCTACGTTTGGCGCATCTGCATACTTAGCGATGCCGCCGTAATGACAGGGCCGTTGCTTACATGATTCAAGTGTTTCCGGCATCTCGGAGAACTGGCCTTGAAATAATCATTATGCAGCATGATTCAATAATTGTCCAAGTACCTCAGGATGCCGGCTTTCGAACGAACTCCTTCCGGGCTACATGCAAAAAGCATACTCTGTAGAAAATGACTTCTTGTTTAGCATGCATTTTCTTATCGATTTTCGATGCCCTTAAAAATTCAATTTTAAGTCTTGGAAGACATACATAAAACGTATTCATTATTTTGCTCATTCGGTAGCAATCACGTCTACTTCCAATGGTATACTCGAAGGGAGGGCCCAATTCGGCCGTGATATGCCTGTTCATAAAACTTCATGCCTTTGCATTTACCAGTGTGGCTTGTACAGTTAACAATTTGGCTCAAATCTACTGCTAAATTATATGAACTCTATATAGTCTCCTCTTAATATCGTAGAGAAAGGCATGGTTTTCCGCACACGGAAGATATCCGGCCTGTAGTTTGGAAACCCTGGAAGCAAATATAACTGCAGATCGGGTTCAAAATTATCCGCGAATTGGAAACGTTTTGAAAACCGAATTATAGCTATTCTCCAAAAATGAGTTTGGAAGAAGACGTAATATTGAACTGAATGAGCAAAAGTATGAATATGTTTATGCATGTGTTCTATGAAATATGATAGAATGTCTAAGGGCTTCTAAAATCGATGAGAAAATGCATGCTACTCAAGCCGTCCTTTCTTACACAGTATAGACTTTTCATGCAACAGAAAAGGAGTACTTTAGAAAGCAGGCAACATGCGGTAATTTAATTATCATGGAATTATTTTGCATATTGATTGGTTTTACAACCCTACTTAATTAAAACGCATTCCTGAATTCCATTTGATATTTCATGAGTTAGCACATCTACTGTAATTTTGCGTGGTCAGATGTTGGTTAACGATTGTTAGGGTGTGGGAACAAGTCAATGATCGTATACGTAGTCCCTCGTATTGAGAGTCTAGAAGGACGTGCCGGTTGCTGCTGGTTGTGCCAGAATGTCATGCTTCGATGAATTCTCGAACCTAACTGGTGTTACCCATTGCCATCACTTCAGCACCGCTGCAGTTGAAACGTTGGTCATACTAAAGGGCGTGAGCAAACACGAGAGACAAGGGGGGGGGTCGCGACTGAGGAGGGATAACTTCTGCTCGCTAATGCGAGTCGGCCTGTATGGCCAATATAAACACAGGGGTACTTGGCGCACGGTATACAGTAGATGGGCTCGGTTATTTCTGATTGGTGGAGTGGATTGAGTATAGTTAGACATGATGCGATGACGAGAATGTGCTCCCCAGGAAATTTTCCTGGAGGTGGAGTTGTCGTGATGGTCGAAAGGATTTCGCCAGAATGGTCTACGGAGAATGCAAAAGACGAGGAGAGGAAGTAAGACAAGTAGTGCAGCAAGTGTGTCAAATGGTGAGGACGCCATCGTAGAGGTCAGCATGAGATAACACAGGAAATAAAATTGCGGAAATCGAATGAATTGGTGTAGCGCAATAAATTGCAAAGGCCTAGGGTAATAAGAGGCATAAAAAGAGTGCGTAAAAGCAAATCCAAAAGGGGGATTTGAAAACAACTATGAAGTCCTGCCTGTTTGCAGATCATAGCGAATAGCGAGAGAGGAATGGCGTAGGAAAATACGCTTACTAGGCGAAGATGGCTTTGGGGTCCACGAAGATTCGCCTTTAACCTCGGTTACGGCTTCTGCAAACAGAATGCAGGGAGACGATCATGGGGATTGCTGTCTGCCTCCCAACGTCCTGTGCTACACACAAATCTCACAGACCCTAATGTCATTGCCGTCCACACCTCTATTCTCATAATAATAATAATAATTATTTATTAATATAATATATATTATACTAGATGAGACTTATACCGCCAGATCACTAAGCCCATATGGATGTGTTCTCTCATTTGCTGACTACACTTAAATATTCTGCAATTTGCATTGCCACTGCTTTTTGCCCTTTCCTCGGTCTACAGTCTTTAATACTTTTATGTATTTTATCTTATTTTCTCACAGATTTTCAGCAATTTGCATCGTTTCTTCTTCTTGCTCATTTGTCCTCCGTCTACTTTCTTCCTTCAGTTTTTCCCTAGCCTATGCCATTTTTTCCATTCCTTGTTATGTCATGTTTTTGCCGTTGTTTCCTTTTACCTCCTATTTTTAATAATTATCTTCGTTGTCTTTGCTTACTTTTCATTGGTTCTGTTCCTGGTGGAGGTGTTTCGGTATGCGGCGGCAAGGTAGCTGTAACATAGAAATGGAAATATTTGTTATATTTTTCTGTTTCCCGGTTTTAATATGCTAACTGCTCGTTAGCTGTGTACTTTTTTTCATATTTTACTCCTTCACATATTGTATTTGTTTTTTATTGCAATGTGTGCATCCATGCGCATTAATCCCTGCAAAATTTTATGCTCATTTACTTTTATTTTTTCTGTTTTCATTCTGTTTGACTCATTCTTCCCCTTTTCTGTTATGCGTTTTTCCGTCTTCGCGGTCTTTAAAAAGTTCATTTCGTAATATTCTGAAGTAAATAGATTTACTGAAGTCGTTTGTGTCAATCCTGGCATTAACTAAAAATATCCGCATGGAACCCATCTTTTCGGCCTGACTAACTTATTATTGTACTTAATGGACATTTTGTCCAAGTGTCCCAGTATGCTCCGATTAGTACTTTTCATTTGCCGTTTGTTCTGCTATTGCAAACCACATTACTCTATTTTTACGTTCCCCTTTCTGAACTTTTACGATTTTAATCACAAATTGGACCACTATTTTTTTCTGCTAAATTCGCTATTGCGTGTCGACTTTCATGCCAACACAATTTGGTTGCGCCATCATTGCTTTGAGGTTTGGAGTTTGCAGGTTGCACAGATGTGCCTTGCATACTTTGAGCCGTATTTCTCAGTCATCTGATTATTCAACCATTTTCTACGGCTCCTGATTTTAACATTTGCAATTACAGTGGAGCGGTTAAACGGTCGTTTGTGCGTGATAAGATAAACCATTCTGCTTTTATGCAACCAGTTTCTGTGAGCGAACACTGCATTTTGAAGGCGTCAGATTACTTTATATACCGGTTAGTGTAGTATCCAGCGTGGAACATTAAAAATGTGCAGGCATGTTTTTTTATCGGGACACTTACTTCTGTGTTCTTAATTTAATGACGGGTCTTAATCTTATGACCTCCAGTGAGGTGAGGTTTAATGGAGCACTTACATGTGTGAATTGGTCTTACTCAAGCGAGAAGACTGACGTAAGGCAGTGTGTTAATGCCCATGCTCAATTGTTCATACGACAGGCACACTCTGACTGACAATAGATTTCGACTTTTCGTACGAAAATATGTCAAACATGTGTTTAGGTTTGTTCATGAAAAACCAGCGGTGGATGATGAGCAGGTACTTACCGTGGGTGATTATTCGCAACCGGCAGTCAATAGAGCATAATTTAATACTATGAGCCTTAATAATTGAAGCTACGCACAATAGATGACTTTGCTTGTGTGCACGCTAATCATCCCATGTAGAACCAACTATTTTAACCGGGAGGTTTGAATTCATTTGACAGTATTACTCATTTACCATAAGACCCGCACTTAGTGAATGTGAGCAGAAACCAACTCGTATCAGCAGTGAGGCATTAAATATTATAGTCACGAACTGGCTGTGATGGAAACAAAATTGACGGACTTAAATACGTGCTAGGGATAAATGTGCTAAAACTTCAAACATGCTTTCTGCACTTGCACTATTTGTTTTGTCAAGAGCCAATGTTATGTCTCAAAAATTAAGGCAAATACACCTAAGATTCCCTGGCGACTTTCTAAATAAAAGTGAATTAAGTAAGTACAATATGGCAAGTAAAACCTCCTTAGTCATCTCAATTAGTTGTCAACGTAAACCTGTTGTAGGTCTAAATATGTAATTTTCAGTCTATCGCGAACATAAATACAGGTCAAGATATTGTCTTATTTGTCCCGTTGAATATAACACGGATAAACTTACACCAACGGTGAGCTGATCGCGCTTCAATGAGGTCTAAAAGGAGGAGGAAAAAAAGCGAGTTGTCATTCCTTCAATTTAAACCCAGTTGCGTCAATTTTAAATTTGTCTCTCTGGAAGTTTCATCGAAGACAGAATCTGTCTGTGCGGACGATCGATTAAAAACACTGTAAAGCATGAAGTATTTAACGATGTACCAAGGCAAAATTGAAATTCAACGTAATCCAGAAAAAAGGAAAATAGGAAGCTAGCTTTACAGTACTGATTGTCTCTTTGTATACACCTAAAGATTTGTTTACTATTAAATCTGTCAAACCTACTTTAATCTATTAGTCAGCGAACGACCTGGCAATATGTGACCTTATAAAACTCTTATTCCTATGGCGTCCTTGTCGGCGAAATCAAGCAGAGTCCTGTCTGCCTTATTGAGCTGTACCTTAATCAATTCAAAAGCGTGGAAAATACAGCGAATTCGCAGGAGATCACTTTGGAATTTATACTCCGAAGGGAGGCCGTTGGGAAACTGTCGTACCTGATAATACACTAATTCGTAAAGGATATTTTAATGTGAAGTGCACTGAAAGACCATGTTCAAACATTATTGTTTTTGTGCTGCCCATCTTTTAACAGTTCCTTTCAAAATTAAATTTACTAAACTACAACCATTTATGACGTTCTCGGAAGTTTCCGCTTTGCGAAGAAAATTCGTATAACTACGGATTGCAGTATTGCCTATAAAATTTTAATTGTATTTTCGGTTCTATTGAAAGTGTCCTATATTACTGTCGATATTTAATCCATGCATTGGTGCTGGCTGCAACTAATTAGCAATCACTCGTACATTTCGACACCTTTCATCGCTTAGGTGGCATACCGTACCGTCTTGGCTTCAAGCAGCTCCTTATTATCAGGACTGCAGTATAGGCCTTAGGATCACTTGTGAGCTTAAAAAATCGTAGAGCTCAAAGTCATCAAGCATGTAAGCGGATTTTAGAAATACTTTCTTGATACCGGACTATGTCTGATCTATAAAACGGCACAGACCTATGCCAGCATCTGCCATTCTTGCAGCTTTTTGAAGACGCTTTAAATCACTGAAAGCCTTCTGTTTCGCTTAAGTGTCTTGCCCATATCATAAGTACCCACCCTGTTGTCGCTGTTTCCCGAGGTATGTCTATTTTACAGTAGATGTGCTAACTCATGTAATGTCAACCAAAATTTCGAAATGCGTTCTCGTTTCGAAAAGATTAATTAAGTATTGTTGTAAAACTAGTCATGATGCAACATAAATTTATAATGACTCAGTTACCGAGAGGGTGTTGCCTTTCGAAAGAACTTATCTTCGGCTGCATGCATAAAATGACTACTTATTTAGCATGCAATTTTCTAATTGATTTTCGATGCTCTTAAAAATTCAATTATGTTTCATGAAAAACATGCATAAAATTATTCATTGTTTTACTTGTTCCGTAGAAAATCACGTCTTCTTCCAATGTCATACACAAAAAATAGTATAATTTGGTTTAAAAAACGTTTCTAATTGTGAGATTATTTAATACCGTTAAATGGCCGTTCATGAAACGTCATGCATCTGCATTTACGAATGTGGCTTGTAAAGTTAACAATATTGCTCAAATCCACTGCTTAATTTTATGAACCTCATATGGTCTCCTCTTAACACCGTAGAGCAATGCATGGTCTTCCGTACACGGAAAATAAACAGCTTGTAGATTTGAAACCCTGAATGCAATGGAATAAGGCGTGATTTCGTATCGAATAAGTAAAACAATGAATATTTTTATGCATTTTTCCATGAAAGATAATTGTATTTTCAGGGGCATCGAAAATCAATGAAAAAATTGCACACTAATCGAGTAGTCATTTTTGGCAGAGTATAGATCTAACATACAGCCAAAACTAAGTTCTTTCAAAAGCCGATACCCTGCGGTAACTGGATCATTATAGGCTTATGCTGCATCATGATTGGTTTTACAACACTACTTTATTTATATTTTCGAAACGAGAACGCATTTCGAAATGTTGGTTGACATTTTATGAGTTAGCACATCTACTGTAGAGACTGTAATGTGCTAAGTATTGTGATTAAGTTGCTTTTCTATTTTTAATTGTGTCGCAGTGTTCTGATGCTGCTGTTTTGCCGCCAAGCACGTACAATGGCGAAAACTGAGTAAATAATACTGCGTTCAATTTTCGTACGATAAACATACTGCCACGAGACATACACTTAAATTATGAGTAAAAACGGTTTCCCATAACGTGATTTTAGCTGCAGTTTTTCAAATCACATATGCTACACAAGGGTGGGTAAATAACAGCCTCCGAGTCAGCTAAAGCTGAAAACCTTTAATAGTATTAAAATGTGTGGGTCTGTAAAGTTAGAAAGGAATCGGTGATCCTGGTGGGGTCCAATCGTTCGGAAGCAAGTGAAACCAGATAAGTTATGCATATCTTTCTAAAAACCTATTAATCACCCCTTGTGTTCTGCGTGATTATTCTCTTTGGTACAAGAATGGAACATCGAACATTTTTGATCAATTCGAAGGACTGACCTACCATCCAATTGTGATCTCACATAAACAAATATAATTATGTTAAGTTAGTTGCCCTTAATCAGAATCTGATTCCCATCTATTAATGACTATTTTCATTGAGGATATTCATAATCCCTCGCCACCCGAAAGATGTAAAAGTACTAGCACGAAGAGAGTCTAACAAACTATACCGAATGTTTGCTGGCTATTTCCGAACATAAGATAATTCAGCATCATAATTTTAAGGCAGATAGTAAATAAGTAAAATTTGTTTAGAACAGTGTGAGAAGCCGGTTGCAGTCATACGTAGGCTCTTACCATTTAACCTAAAATAAGACCAACTAATACCGGCGCATATGGGCAAATAATCACCAACTTACAGAAAAGCAGAAGAACCAAAATCGCGTGTTTCATTCTGTTGGCTCCGTGATATCTGAGAGCCAGAATGCTGCGCAGCGATTTATAGATGTAAGTCTTTCAGATTTGAAGGTCATTGCTGTCAGTGGAAGTCCATTAAATTAAATTTGATTAATCAGGCGCACACAGGCACCTGTCTGCAAAACAACAGCTATTGGGTCCATCCAGAAAGAATACGTAACTTGAGAATGGCAGCGTATTCTTTTTGAAATTTGCCGGACCATTCTTTGAAGTTTTACACAAGAAGCCGCATGGAGGAGGCTCGAGGGCCCTCTAAGGAGGGGGGGGGTGGAAGACCATCATACTCGTGGCGTGCGTGTGATTCATCCACTGACGTGCAAAGTATGGAAGGTAGGGGGGTTCTTCATGTGAATTCCTTTCAACCACACCCAATCTAACCGCATGTGCTGCAGTTAATTTCATAATCACCATATTGCAGTTTTTCTATGGAGCTGTCACGTTGAGTTCAGTGGTCAGAAGTGACATTTACTGTTGGACAGGCAAGAAATTCTTAAAGCCTAGCTGATGCCTGTGATCTCCTTCAGAATTGCGCCTGAGTACTAGCACAAGTCTGCCCGCGGGAACTATGCGCAACATCCCAGAAGGTCACTTGAAAACCACTTGCTCAGGAATTCAGACCATGGTGTTCAGGAGAGTGATCTAGGCTGAACTGGTCGCGGTCTGAATATGTTAGCGCACTTCCAAGTCCTCAAATACTGGTGTTTCTCTTTCAGACTGAAGAGTACAATGCCCCTCATTACTTGGCAAAGAACGTTTTGAAAAAGCAAGATAGCAGACGCAGGTTTTCAGCAATTCATCATCATGCCCATACAGTTAAATATACCTTGATCATATGAGACGTTTGAGGGTTTATAAGTCCAGTAGGTGGGATAACTCACGAAATCTGAACCGAAATTCCGAAGTGCGTTTTCGTCTTGAAAAGATTAACTAGGTAGGCTTGTAATACCAATCATCATGCAGCGTGATTCTACAACAATTCAGATACCTCAGGATTCTGGCTTTCAAAAAGACTTCTGTTCAGTTCCATGCAAACCCATACTACGTAAGAAATGACTACTTGCGTAGCACGCATCATTCTCCTTGACGTACGATTACCTTAGATATTCATTTATATTTCAGAGATAACATGTATAAAATATTTATTCTTTTGCCCATTTAGTAGACAATGACGACTTCTTCCGATTTTATATTCGAAGGAAGGGTATAATTTGGCTTTTAAAAAGTTTCCAATTGTAAGATTTTTTAATACAATTAAATGGCCGTCTATAAAACTTCGTGTATCTGCATCTACCCAATGTGCTTTGTAAAGTTAACAATATGGCTTTTATTCACTGCTAACGTTAGTGCTCTCCGTATAGCCTCCTCTTAATACCGTAGAATAATGTATGGATTTCCGTAAGCGAAAAATGTTCGGCTAGTAGATTGGAAATCCTGGATGCAAGCATAACGGCAGTTGGGGGTCAAAAGCATTCGGGAAATGGAACAGTTTTTAAAAACCGAATTACACCCTTAATTCGAGTACTAACTTGAAAGAAGACGTAATTTTCCACTCAATAAACAAAAGGGTGGAGGGTTATGCATGTTTTCCAAGAAATACAATTGATTAGTTAGATGGTAGTTGGTAGCCCTCCCGGTACCGAAAACTCCCAGCTACCTGACTTACGGGACCGGTGGTAATAGGGGCTATACGGTCGGGGCAAATGAGTGGAGGCGTAAATGGCGTTTGTAGGGAATGCCTGGAATTGACGATCCTGATAAAGTGAAAACCTAATTTAAACAAGGTGAAAAATGCGAGGAAGGTAAACACTTCGGATCTGACTGACGTAGGAGACGCCTTGCTGTTGTAGTCCGAACCCAAAAGGTAGTAAGTGCGCGATAGCTTAAGTAAAGTGCGCCCAGTTCAAACCCAGCAATGTCGAAGCGCCCGGGGGGAGGGGGGTGTGCCGTAGTGCCTTAAACTGGAAGTGCAGGAAAGAATCACTAATTGGCCATGGCGGTGTTTACAAGGCGTCACAGTTTTAAGCCAAACCCCTGCGACCAAATACAACCGGGCTGTTCATAAAGACGGGGCCAGTAGGTACAATTGTAAAATCAGTGGGCAGGGCTACCAACTACCATTCTGCCCAATTGAATTTCCAACGACATCGAAAATCAATAAGAAGAATATTTACTATTAAATAAATCATTTTTTCACAGTAGATTTTTTGCATGCAGCCGGGAAAAAGTTCCTTTGAAAGCCAGCATCCTGAGGTCATTTAATTATTGTAGAATTCTCCTACGTGATGATTAGTTTTGCAGAGCTACTTATTTAGTCTTTTCAAAACTAAAACGCGTTTCGGAATTTTGGCTGACATTTCATGAGTTGTCCGACCTACTGTATCTCAGGTAGGTTATTAACACCAATCGTTTCCACGTCATTCGCATGACGACGACATTGAGGCAAGTGGGTAAGTGAGGGAGGGCAGACATAAAACGCCTTTTCACGTCACTGCAATAGCATGTAGGGCCCATTTGCAAGCAAAACGACCTGCTCTTATGATAAACAGCATGCGCATCTAGATCATCAGCAGACTAAGTAAGACAATAGTCCAACTATCGAAATGTTGCATGAGAGTTTATAAGAAGCATGTGATCAGCCATCTCGGCAGAAACCGACCAACCTCCCAAAAACACTTTCGTTTCTATTCAATTTCTGTACGCTAAACGCTCTGATGACCAAACCCTGTGATGTGCACACAAAATGAAAAGGGCCTCCGGTTAGATTGCATTTGGTATCCAGGAATGGAGAGGCAGACGGCCGGGTCCCTGTCTTGCCGCAATGGTGGGAAAGGGGATTTTATGGGTGGGGGAGAGATAGAGGTATGCTTTATTTTGAAAATAACTTTCAAAACCATCAGCAAAAACGGTTCTCCTGTACACAGTGATTACCATAGAGATTAACAGGTATTGGACAGGTGGACATGATTATATATGAAGAAAAAAGGACTTTAATGTGCAAGATCGAGTTTTAGTTTTTGTTTTTCAACACCTTTGCAGGTGAGGTACCGGGCTAGAAATGGCAGTATAGAATTCCGATAGGCCGAAGTGCGGTAAGGGATGTGGCGGAAGCATCGACGCATGGGGCGTAAGGATTTCGCAGCCATTAACTCCTTATGAAGGGAATAGATGGTGTCATTCAGAATTCGGTCCGCGAATCGCTCCACCGAGTTGAAGTGTCGCTGCACGATGATATCAATTAAAATATGATCGGAAACACCAGCAGCAGAGGCGAGCATTCGAATGACACGTTTAAAAATAATTAGATCTTTTTTAAGTAAAGCTGGAAAAATAACTGGAGAACAATAAAGAATGAGTGGAAGAATACAGCCATCTATGAATAGCCAGATTAAGGACTGGGGTGTGTGATATGAACGTAGACGACGAATGTAATAAACAAGTTTTTGAATTTTTGTTAAAAAGGTTTCCATATGAAGAGAGAAAGAGAGATTTGAGGATAAAGTAACACCTAGGTACCGGAAAGAAGAAACCTCATTGGGAAGAATATCCAAAGGTTCAGGAATGGGAGAGGGTCGCAATCGAAACACACACTGTACTGATTTCTGATTGTTGAGTAGGAGTCCATTATTTGTAGACCATGCGGAGACGTGATCTAGGCCACCCTTTAAAGACTGCAAATGAGTCAGGTTTTTGAGTGGGTGGCCTACGACCATGTCATCCGCATACTTAACATACAGGCAGTCGTTTGGCGATCTCAAATCATCAGTATGTAGGGAGAAAAGATGAGAGGATAAGATGGAACCTTGTAGAACTCCACAATTAATTGGAAGAATAGAAGATTTTCTCTTTTCCGACTGGACAAACTGAGTGCGGGAGGAAAAATAATCTCTAAGCCAAGAAACAACCCAGCTCGGAGTGTCACACGCAGCTGCTTTGGTCAGGCGGAGTTGGCGCGGAATAGTGTTGAAGGCGGATGAGTGGTCGAGAAAAGCACATGCATATGCACGGCATCCCTTGTCTAAGTCTCTCAAAGCTGAATGAACAACTAAAGCAACAGCATCCAAGGTGCTACGCTTTACCTTGTATGCAAATTGTAGAGGATCAGAAAAATTGACGGAGGAGTACTGAAGGGAATCTAATGCAACGCGTTCAGTAAGTTTCAGGAGTGAAGAAGAGCAGGTAATAGGACGTAAAGATTTAGGAGCAAAAGTTAAAGATATTTTAGGGATTAGAGCAATTCTTACAGTACGCCAGGCTTCAGGAATCTTGGACTCTATGAAGGATAGATTAATAAGGTGGGTCCAGACGGGAGCTATCTGCGAACAGCAAGACTTAATGAGAAAAGGAGAGACGCCGTCCGGCCCAGCTGCCGTTGACCTGCGAATATTTTTGAGATGTTGTTCCACTGTTGTCACAGTCACAGGAGTAAAGTCACATGGTGGTAGGTAAATTTCGTTTGGGCGAGAAGGGGAGTCGTTAGAAGAATAGATAAAATTCCGATTTAAAGAGTTCAAATCTACGTCAATGGGTTCAAGTATATTACGTTGACCAGTGATTCCTCCACAGTTCAGCAGAAGGAAAACGAGAGGCGTGGGTGGATGAAGTAGAAAAAAGTTGACTAACGGAAAAACCGTTAAGTCTGGCAATTTTGTTCTTTATTAAAACATTGATATTCTTCACCTTGTCCCGCTGACCTAGCTTGTGGAGGGCTTCCTTGCGACGTCTCAAGTGTTTGAGGTATGGTGAGGAGATTCTGTCAAGCCTGACCATAACAGTTTCACGGGGACAACAAATATCAAAAATGTGATTCAAAAATAGCGTAAGATAATTAGAGCATAATTCAGCATTTTGTAGTTCTAGAAAAGTTGGGATAGTACTAGTAATTAAACTCTGCAGTAAGTGGATCTTATCTACGGATGTGCCTCGAACAGTAATTTTCCTCTCGGGTTTTGTAAGCAGTTGACGCTTAGAGGTGGAAT